AGTATTCAAATTTTACCCGACAAATATTAGGCTTCAATTAAAGGTTGAATAAACATACCTGCATATTATTATTTATTATAATATATACCACGTAACCAGTTACGTGTGGTTACAAGAATAATTAACAAGCACGAGTTCTGCAATTAACAAGCACAAAGAGCCGTAATCGAATCCGGGTACGCACGATGGTGTGTTTTAAGTGGAAAACCCGAAGGTGCAGGCAGGGGTAGTATAGGTATAATATATAGTTCCAGTGATATTTATATTATATAATTGTTTTGCATTATTATTATGTTAGTTTTATATTTTTCGTGGGTATGCACGAGTCAAGTTGGTACGTTCGTGACTATTGTATTTTTAAGGTTTCGCCGATTGTCTTTAAAAGGTTTCGGTCGGGTTTGTATTTTTTAACACGTCCGCGCGATAATGAATTGGGATGCCCTTTGAACAGTTGTTTGTCACGCAGTCATTTGAATTCGCAATGGTTATAAATTAAAACCGACGGTATGCATTATACATACTTATAATATATTATAAATAAACCTACCACTTCCACAATAATCCCCTACCGTCCCACCCCTCACCCCAATGGCCTCTGTTGTCGCCGGGCCCACCCCAAAAAAAATATATATTATATTTATTTTTATTATTTATATTCATTTTAATATATGTGATGTATATTTAATATAAATGATAGACATTTAAATTATTTATACCATTGCGGTCGACACTGAAAACAATATGCATGATGCCCACCAAGGCGGAGGATGGGTTCTGGGAAAAATATCATATGAAAATGGATTTACATAAATGCACACCCTCAGGGTTTTCTAAAACGTTTACTCGCATTTGTACACACGCACACTACCGAGGGCGTTGAGCTTGATTTATGTTTTTGTATTTCTTTCCATCGATGCCACTCCGGTATGTGAGCATATGTATATATTATGAATAAAATATCTGTGCACGGTAAGTACACACGTGCAAGAGATATCTTAGAGGAGTAGAATACGCGCTCGGCGGTGACAATATCAGACGATTTTACACACATAATCGTGTGCACCACACGTGTGGTTGTGGGTTTATGCCACGTTCCCCCCCCCCCATTCCCCTCAGATTATAAAATAAATAAAATAAATAACAGAAAACACTCTAACGAATTAAATCGGATGGAAATAAAAGAAAATGGCTCGGGGAAACGTCTGCGGCGAGCGCGTCAGCTGAGAGAACCGCGTTTTGTATACCGGATGTATCCAATTGTCAGCGGAGAGACTGCGTTTACACATTCACACATAATATATTATATTATCTATTTAGATACCATACGGCTGCTATATTTCACGATTATCACGCTCAAGTTCTCTCGTTTGTGAGTTTCAGGTTAGACTTCATACACACATACACACACACACACACACACACACATACTACGTATACTTATAATTTGTCTCAAAGCTATATAATATATATATATATATGTATATAATTAAGTCATGTCATAAAAACGTTTTGTACGGGCATTGAGGGTTTTATTTTCAGTGGAATTGATTTTTTATTCGGTCGCTCGGTCTTATCTCGAACGTTCATGCACTTCAATATTTCGTATAATACAAATACAGAGATATTTTATTCAGTTTTCATCCGGTATAATATGTATTCTTTTCAAAATACCTTCTCCCGGTTGCACTCATGAATTACCATCGGAGGAATATTGCCGCATACGTTCGAATTATTTTGTTCCGTACCGTTTGACGACAAACGTTTTCTCCGCCAGTATAATGTTATAGCCGGTATAATGTCTTTCATATGTACGAGATGGTGTTTAGTGTTTATTCAACGTCATCCTATTGACGCGGTGTAGTGTTTCGAAAAGTGTTGTGGTTTTTTATGCACGTTTTTCTTTTTTTAACGACATTATTTGTGTCGAGAATCAGAAACTACATTTTTTCGTTGTACAATATTCAAACATTTTTATCCAAGTCGATAAAAAAATAATAATAAAAGCGTATAAAACTATAACGTTCACGTGTAGATGAGATACATTGTCCATCTTGTGATAAAAAAAAAACAACTGCCCTTAATATAAAAAACTCTCATGTTCTTATTATGAGCTTTTGCACCACTCTTTGCGTCCCCGAGGCGCCGTTTTATATTTAGTTAGCGTGATAATATCTAACATCGATCGACAATGATAAAAATATCAATGTAATGTGTGCAATTATGTCATTTTAAAATTACCTTTTTTTTTTAATTGTCTATATTATTCTATCAGTTTACATTTTCTGTTAAGTTAGCACAAACTTCTGTGCGTGCTGCGACTTCACACACAAGCATGTATATTATATAGATTCGTGTGTTCAGAAACCGTGTTATTAACCATGGCATTTTATTTTCGTTACCGCCTCCCCACCATTCGCCAACTGCCCTGACCCGGAACTCCATAAGTATATTATAGCAGGGCGAAACTCGCAAGTCCGTGACCGATCGACTTACGTGGTTCACTGAAGCTCGCTCGCGTAATCAATCAAAAAATAAAACACATATGTACTGTATAAATATAAGTATATTTGTTCATATAGTTAGGTACTTATCTGTACATAAATATAGTATATACTAGGTTAGTCGTGTATTTCAGAAACCGTTTTGTGTTTTTGGCGTGGTATTTCTTTCCATACTCAAACGTAAAGAGAGGAAAAACAATCTACGAGAGCTATTAATTATAATTTCCAATGTACATGCTCATCTATTTGACGCTTGTGACCCGGCTTAGGTAATTTTCTATCTGGCGGCGTTGGACGCCTTTTTAAAGTTATTTATATGTATATATATATATTGTAATATGCGATGTGCAAAATCTTGACACTATTCATAAATATTTAAAAAACAATTCGACGAGATTACTTTTTTAAAAGTATATTACATATACTCATTTTAATTAAATAAACACTTTGCGCTGTAACAGTTGTGATTTTCGCTCTTCCGTGCGATTAAGCTTTCCATAAATTTAATGTTAGAAAAAGTGATGCAAAAAACAACCCATTAGGCAAAAAAAAAAAAACAATTTAAAGAACGGCGGACGTCAACAGACTGCCGATGCCGTCTGTGATGAAATATGTGTATTGTGTACACACCAGCTCAGTTAGTTGCTGTTGTAGATATATGCATTCCATCTCTGCAAAACTCGTGGGTGTATTGTATAACCGTTTATAATTAATGATATAGCTTTAACGTTGTTTCACACACCTTTTTATATTTTTATACTTAGAGCGGCGATTATTTTAAGTACTTAACAGGGATCAAAACGTTTTTGTGTTTAATTAGATCTCAAACTATATTAAATTATACCGTATATTTTTACTTATATGTATTGCAGATTTTCAGGTTTATTGATCATATAACTATACGTATTATGTTCAGGGCGTTTATCTTTTTTTTTCATTGATTAAGGTCTAGAAAAAAGGAAATCTCGGCGGGCCACCCTGTGTAGTGGATATAATATTATAGTATTATATACTTAGTCGGACTCTTCAAAATATGTTTTTTAATTATTGTAGTGGAAGGAAAAATACTCAATGCATATGCGTGATGTATATACAGTACTCATACTATACACGTATGCGCTTTGTTCCGCAATAATAATATATATGTGAAGTTATTTCACTTGACGATGTTTTTCATTAAGCATACGAGTGGTACGACGTGTGTGTGTGCAATTATTATTATTATTGTTGGCGATGTTTTATTTCTTTACCCTCTTTGTCTCTGTCTCTGTCTCTCTCTCTCTGAAAATAACCTCGAGGATTCGAGTGTTGTTTATGTATCGTTATAGACGTTATAGTATACACTGGTCACTAATATTAAGTGGGTACATTGTTGTGGTGTTCGACCATCGACGAACGGTACATTTTCGTCAAGATAAAACCTATAGGTATATGTTACATTTTGTGTGCATCATAAATGCTACTGTTCACGTTTCGGGTTATCTTCGTTGAAATCTACAAATATCGCTGATGTTATCGTCTTGCAACCTGACAACACGAAGGTTGGATCGACTATTGAGGGTGTTTTTTAAATTGTGGTATTTGTGTGGTTAGGTTAGTTAACCTATGTTAACCCATCATAACCTAACCCATAGGTAATTTGGTAAATTAACACGTTTCGGAGGCGTCGGAGAACTCGTCGCATTATTATTATTTCAACTACCTCGATTATCCATGCTCCGATGCTTGGTTTGGCTGTCATTATTATATTAAGTAGGTATTATTATTCGTACAAGGTCAAATTTCCACACATATAGGTTTATGCATAAGCAGATTACGAACGGAAATTGACTTTTATTGGTTGTTTTTATACGGTCGGTGCCCACGGGTGGGGACCAAAAGCCACATATTGATAATACGCCGCGGTTAATGGATTCAACATGGACACGGCGTCGTCGAGTAACGGTGTAGGTATTTATAGCGTTAAATCCATATAATAATATAATATAATGTGCACTATCATAGTAATATCATATTTACATTTTTTGTGTACGGTCTACACGTAAAACGTTTTAAAGGGCATGTAGAAATAATGAACGGTTAGAAAAAAAAACAACAAAAACAAAACAGCAAAAACAAAACAAAAAGACAAACTCGAACATAGTGCACGCCCGTCGTCGATACAAATAATAAAAGCGGTTTAGATTTAATATGCGTGTAATGATAATAGAAATAATAATAAACAATTTTGTACCATGCGGTAGGTTGGCGCATTAACGTCAGTCAACGGCTCGGCCGGCCGACGTGTGACGTCGCATTTTGTTCTTGACACGACCACTTTTTTTCCGCGCGTCCGTCGAATCTCGATTAATGATATGCAATAAACTATCTGTTCAAACATGGTTTTGGACTACACGTGTGATGGCCTCCGAAGTCGATTACTCTCGAACTCTGTGTGGTCGAAAGTGCAGGGTGAACGAGAAATTGAGATCTAAAAAAAAACTTGAATTTTTTTTGCAGTTACCGACGTCGGGAGAAACAGGCACAGAACTGACGGTCCGGGAGCTGGAAGAGATGGCGTGCCGGCAACAGCATCAGATCGAGTCGCAGCGGCAGTTGTTGGCTGCCAAAGAGCAGCGACTCCGCTACCTGAAACAGCACGACGCCAAGCACCATCAGGTGGCGGCGGAGCACGAGCGGCTCCGCCGCCTCCGGGATCGGGTCGAGGCTCAGGAACAAAAGCTCCGTAAGCTCCGGGCGCTCAGAGGTCAAGTGGACCAGACTAAACTCAACAACGCCACACTCAGTGAGTACCTATATAGACGTGCATAATATAACTATATTTATTATTATTATATACTATATATATTATTTTAGTCATATAATACTAGTACACTGCAGGTGTAATATACATACGAGTATAATATATATATAGTAGCTCTTAATCTTTGGCTATTATCATCGTATTATATATATATATATGTAGGTATTAGTTATGTACACCCTCGGAGAGTCGTCGTAGAGACATCGTATATATATATATTATATATATAATGATAATATGTACACTTTATAATTGTACATTATATGTATATAGGTCGTAGCATCTATACACAATCGTCTGAGGACTTGTTATTTGTCGTACTATTCTATATACTGCACATATACGAGAGCTTATACATCTATATATATATATATATATACATCTATATATATATATATATAATGTGTACGATGAAACACTTAAGTGGGATTTGGGAATCTTCCCCTCATCTGTAGGAGTTCGTCGTCCGCTGCAGTGCACGTCCCTAGGTTTTTTCTCTTAAATTTTTTTTACTCCCGTTTGAACACGATGCGAACAACAATACGCCGTCGTTTTTACAGGCACACTGTACAATGAACATACATACTTAATACTCACGTAGTTATGTATGTATAATGTATTACCAGCGATGTTCATAATGTATATATTATATTTATTCAGTGCGTGTGTCCTCTGCGATACGGGCAGGTAATATTATATTATATTTAGGGTTTACCGTAATTTCCTAAGAAGGATTTTTTTTCAAGACATGTATCGTAAACAGATTTGTGGGGAATTTATTGCCAAAAATTCAAACAACTATTTTTCGTTTAAAATAAAAAAATATATCTACATTGAACTTGAAACCGTCAAAAAAAAAGTATAAGATAAAAAGTATGTAATTTGTCAGTACATACTATAATAATTAAATCGTATAGTTATTGTGTTTGAGTCAAAAATGACTAACCCTTTTAAATGATCACTTCAAAACGACAGACCGATCGCACTCGTGTAATCCGTAACTGTATTTCACGATGTATTGTAATAGCACGTCGTATATTCTGGAAACGTCGTGTATAATATACTGCACAATAAACTTATACATATATGATTACCATAAAAGCCTTTATTCACCGTACAGTGCTTAGCTCAGATAGTGTTGTGTCAGCATCAATCAGGTGCTACAGTAATAGTATTGGCTGGTGAAAAGAATCCTTCCAAATTCTTTTCAACAGTATTGAATTAAATTCTCCAAAAATCATTAATATATTATTTATATATGCACCATTTGTATCTACGTAAATATTTTTAAATTTTGTTATTTTCGTTTACATTGTTCATATTTTATTAGACGGGGGGGGGGGGATATTTATATGATATTAGTAAGCCATTTGTTCGATATCAGATTTATTATGTGTAACCTACTCTAGAAATCAATTTTAATTTAAAACTTAATATACAGCTTGCAGGTAAATGCTTTGGTAAAAAGAATGCCCCAAGCTAATATTGGTTAAACAACCGACCCTCCCCCCAACACAATAATTTATAGTTTTCATGGTTGCTAAAGAAAATAATACGCTCATCATTACGCAGTAATGCAGTGTATATATAATATATACTAGGTCATGTTATATAACACGAGATTTTATTTGTGTCGCGTTTAAAAGCTTTTTTCTCGTTTAATTAAAATAAAACCAACGTTGGTAGGTGCTAGGTGGTATATTATGAAGTTATATTATTTCTTATTTTTCCCTAAGAGCTAAGAGTGTTTATATTTATAGTAAAATATATCATAATATGATGTATGTATGTATGTATAATAATATAACTTTGTGTGACGGAGTATAAAATATGTAAGGGGAATATATTTTTTTCTTCAGAAGTGGTCGTGGTTGGTCTTTGATTGAAAAATCGATACGTTTCTCATATATATAATATATATATATATAAACAGTATACACGTGCCCACTATACAGATAGAAACACACACATATATATAATACCGCGGTCCGCGGCCGACGTCGATCTCCTCCATACGTCGCCGTTGCTGTAGTGTTTCCTTGACATTTCTATATTCCACGACTGTATAAGGACTATACACGGGAATAATGATGATATCCATCCATGCGGTGGCAGCGTGTGTGAGTGCGTTTTCAGTAAAAGCTTTCGTGTACATTCGTTCCTGGGAGCATTTAAAACAACGTACCGCAAACGATCATTGCCGGCGAGCACGATGTTCAAAGACAACGAAAAATTGAGGAAATTATATTATTTTTCGCGTGGTGAACCCAATTTATTTTCAGAAAAATGACCGGCAGCTAACATTAAACCAACTCCACTATTTATTATACCTATATTATTATCTAAATACAGTTAATGAGTTTATATGATTTCAAATCTGTATAAAATACAAAAAAAAGGAAAATCATACAATCCAACCTCGTCTACATATAATATCACATATCTTAGATAATATAGATAAGTATAGACGTCTAATATAATGATACCTACCCATAAATGTGTACCTATAATACGTTATTATTTATTTTGAAAAATAATGGTCACCACAATGCATCATTACAGGTAAATATGTATTGTAGGCTAGTTTGTTAATAAATTAATTGGTCGTAAGTAAACAACGTTGTTATCGCTTGAAAACGATTTAAATGCATCGATAGGATTGATAAATTGCCACCATATTATTCTTTTAAGTGTCTTCCTAAAATGTTGTAGCACTTGTTTAACTTGTTCATGCCGCCATTACGTTTCAATGGTTTAAGTTGGGGCTCTTATGCTGAGACCTACAAAATGTTCTGTGTTTATAGTATGATGTAATTGTAATGCGATTGTGATTGTTTAGTGGAGTGATGTATCCTACATTGGTCTGAATAAATTATCGAACCTGATTGTACTTTGGTCAATATCACAGAGTTAAGTGTTGTTTCAGATGTTGTTTTTCCACAATGAAAAACCACAGTTCTAAAATATTGTTGTTGTTACGAAAAATACCAACACCGAAAATCATTTACCATAATTGCGTATATTATCATCATCATCATCATCTTCTGTTTCAGTGTTATCGGTATCTTGTGGTTCATTATTTGCATATAATAATCTTCCTCGATTATATTTTCTTTTGATTTGGAAAAGGGATTCATCAAACTAAATAATACACCCAGCGCCACCAATTTCACAAACATCAAACATACTGACACGACCATTTGTACTGAGGTCATTTTAGTCAACAATAGTGTTGAGACTTTTTTGTTATACTTTTCTGTTTGTACCTATTGCTGGATTTTGCAATACTCAGTAACCTAACCTAACCTATGATTTCACTTAAGTTCAAACGTCTACTGCATTTGTCATTTACGTCAATGTAAGTAAAAAATTGATTTCCTCCCCTTTGGAATCGTATGTTTTGTAACCATTTTATTTTTGACATTTATTAATAACACTTTTAAAACTGAGTCATCATAATATTATACAGTTTCAAACATGTTTGGTGCACACTGCACGCTTGGTACACGCATCGCCATATTAAAGTACCTTTTTTTTCGTGGTTTATCACCGAGTAACAAGGAGGTACTTCACCCTTTACTTCCTTATTGTTACTCGGCCATTAGTACCTATGCGTGTCACGAAATCAGTAAATGGAAAAGATCTTATTTGTTATAATATAATGAAGTTTATGATTTTTTAAGTTAATATTCGTTAATATTTATTTGGGTAATTGATAATGTGCAATATATTTAGACAATAAAAATTTTTTACTGCAATGTATTTTATTGATTTATAGAACTTCTCTGAACTCTGTCGTACATTTTATTAAATATCTATATACCTATAGCAGGTCATACTCATTAAATTTCACTTAATATTGACTCTTGTTATGTTATATACCTATTGTGCTTTATGCAGATTTGAAAGCGTTTAAAGTTATAACCAATATTATTATATAATATTATACAGTTTGATACTCTTCTAATACTCCTTAATACCTGTATTAGCACACATGTATACGTATTTTGTTATGTAATTTATTTCTTTGTTCGGGACACAATTAAAATACGGTGCATGTGGTGAGTATACATCGTAACAAAATAGAATTTGATTTCATTTTTTTTAATTGGTGAAAATAATACATCCAACCCGTGCAGAAAGATACGTCATAATATAATGTATTATGTGAATTTACTATGTAACCCATTTGTGATACTTGCTTCAAGTCTATTATACGTTCAGACGAGGTTTTTATTTTACAGTATGATTTTTTAATATGAATATTAATTATAATAAATATTTTTTTAGTATGAATAATATTCTCCTCCCGTAAAATATGCTTTTAACGACTAGTCAATTAGCTTTATCATGAAAATAATTATCGCACTGGTTATAAATGTCGTTGATTCACTAATCATCAGCATCTATAGAAATGCGTGTAGTGTCTTAACAACTTGACACTGCTTAATAATTATACGTAGGGTTAATAACTGTAAATATAATTCGCGCAGAATTTTAAAGATTTCTAATGGTTTTCAAAAATGTCTGATATTGTGGCGTATACCTATTGATTATTATTGTATAACTGTAGATATTATATTCAAATCACGCAAAAGTTTTATCTTGTTATGCTTATTATTTTTTTCATATACATATATCATTATTTTATCCATTATAGTTCACCGGTTGATGTGTAAGCCATTATTCCGAACTGTCTATGATATATTGTTATTAAATAGTAATTAAATATTTGTATAACAATAACTGTGAAGTCTCCGTTCGCACATTTGTTAAGGTAAATATTATATTATAATATTATCTAATAGATGGAATTATGTAATATATAATTTATATATAAATACAGAGGTGTGAAAATAAATTAATGTTTTATTACATTTTTTCACAGACATAAAATTCAGTGAGAAAAACGACCGTTCACCGTGATATATAACCGTAAAGTAGTTGTGGCAAAATTATATATTTTTTTTTCATTTACATTT